CATGTCCTGAGTCACTCCGTGGTTGCTCTAGGATCTGTTTTTGGGAACCACAAACAAGTTGCTCTCTGCCAAGAGGGTAGAGAGGCCTTCATCAAACACTTTCCTACTCTAGAATCCAAGAGTCCTCATAAACCTTTTCTTTGGGGCACAAAAAACTAGTGGTAACATCCTGGGATCTGACATTTTCCATTTGTGTCACCTTTAGCAAGACATTCAAGCACTCTGAACCTATTTCCTCATTAGTCTTGTGGGAGTAACATCTGCCTTGCAGATTGGTTCCGAATATTTCATGTAGTAATACATATAAATTACCAGACACAGTGAAGGGAGGGTGCCAATAAACAATACAGTTCCCTTCCCTCTTCCTCTTACTGCATATTCTAACCCTTGGCTTCAGTTACTAGCCCCAGATCCATTATTCCTTGAACCAAATTTCTGCTTAAATCACTCCTGCCACAAACTTCCTTCATCTGGTTACTCAGCTTCTGAGAACGGGGGAAGATTTTTGTGAATCCAGAGGGACAGTTGCTGGTTACAGCTTCAGTTTGAAAGGCAATTTCCTCTCTATACAGATCCCCACAATTTACCACATCTCTCTCTAGTTAGATCATAAGGACATTTACCAGGTGGCTACCATGAGCTGGGCCCTTTGTCCTCTCTTGTCTTCTACATTTCCTGCAGATCAACCGCTCACCTTCCCTCCCTCCACAGCAGGCTCTAGATTCTCCAGGTTCTATCCCCTCCTCAGCACTTTGCCCAAAGCGGACCACCTGCCGAGCACGCTGGAACCACCTGCTCGACTCGCCGGAACCAGCTGCCTGACACGCCAAAATTACCTGCCGGCTATGCCAGAACCTCTTGGCGGACACTCCGGAACCACATCTCAGACGTGCCATAACCACGTGACAGTGACGCTGGAAGCACCTGCCGAGCACGCCGGAACCACCTGCTCGATTCGCCAAAACCACATGTTCGACTCACCGGAACCACCTCTCTCTGAGGCCCCTATCTGAACTCTCACTCCCAGAAAACAGCTCTGCAACTAAAAGCCCTCCTCAGAATGCTCTCTCCTTAGTAGTCCTCAGGAAGGTATAAATAGCAATTGTTTTTGCCCTCAAAAGTTTTAAAACTATCTATTTTCCTTTGTTCTAGCAGGCCTCAGTGTTGGATGTAGAGGCACTGGGCCAGAGGACCTGGGGAGTGGCCTGTGGGATGAGGAGCTGCTCAAAGTGTGAAGGCAAGATGGCCTGAAAACCAGGGTGGGCTGGATCAGTGAGAAAAAGGGGAAAGGAATAAGGGGGGAGCACTTGGGAATTATACATTTGGAGACTGCCTACAGTGTACTCCATGGGCTTTAGCATCAATAGACTTAGATTAGAGTCCTGCTTCTACCTTAACATAAATGGGTGGCCCTGAGAAAGTTACCTAACTTCTCTGGGTCTCAGTATTTTCATCTATAGCAATAGAACTAACTATATATTCTTTGAAGAATTGTGATAATCAAAGGATAAGAGATACAAGAAGTGCATACAATTACACAATTTTTTTCTTCTGGAATTATTTATTTATTCATTTATTTATTACTTGTTTGTTTGTCACCATGCAAAGCTATTACAATATTATTGGCTGTATTTCCTATGCCATACATTACTTCTCCATGATTTATTTATTTTACAACTGGATGTTTGTACTTCTTATCCCCTTCACCTATTTCACCCGTCCCCCAACCCCTCCCTACTCCAGTAGCCACCACTTTGTTTCCTGTGTCTATGAGTCTGTTTCTGTGTTGTCTTATTTGCTCATTTGCTTTGTTTTTAGGTTCTACATATAAATGAAATCAAGTGTTATTTGTCTTTCGCTCTCTGACTTATTTCACTTAGCATAATACCCCCTAGGTACATCTACGTTGTCCCAAAATGACAAGAGTTCATTCCTTTTTATGTCTGAGTAGTATTCCATTGTGTATTACACCACATCTTCTTTTTCCATTCATCTATTGATGGACACTTAGGTTGCTTCCACATCTTGGCTATTGTGAATAATCCTGCAATGAACATAAAGGTATATATATCTCTTCAAATTAGTGTTTTCATTTTCTTCAGCTAAATCCCTAGAAGTGTCACTGCTTGATTGTATGGTAGCTCTATTTTTAATTTCTTGCAGAACCTCCATACTGTTTTCCCTAGTGGTTGCACCAATTTACATTCCCACTAACAGTGTACATGGGTTCCCTTTTCACCACACCCTCGCCAAAACTTGTTATTTTTAATTGTTTTGAAATATACTTAACATAAAACTTACCCTAAACTATTTTTAAGGCTGCAGGTCAGTAATGTTAAGCACATTCACATTGTTGTTCAAGCAATCTCCAGAACACTTTTTATTTTGCAAAACTGAAACTCTATGTCAATTAAAGAACAACTCCTGATTTCTCCTCCCCCCCCCCCAGCCCCTGGCAACCACCATTCTACTTTGTCTCTATGAATTCTCAGAATTATACAATTTTTACTGTTACTTATACCCAATCTGAAGCTTATTTTTAAAAAATTTTAGCCTTATTTTGGTTTTGCTACATTTAATTTTAGTTAGTTGAGTGTTTTTGCTTTTTTGCCAACTGATGCTTTTTATTTAAATAAAATTATCAAGTCACAGCTCAAATGGAGTGCAAAGAAAGTAATAACTCTGAAGGTGATACTTAATAACTGAATTCTGGAAATTATTTAACTGATTAAGATTCAGTGATGCCCACCAGGATTCTGGCAGTGTCCTGCAGAATGGATTTCCAAAAACCAGGGTCCTTGCCCTGGAGGTTCTCATAGTTTCATGGGGGATCCAGACCAATTCATTCACTCTACATGGGTTTATTAAGTGCCTACTATGTGCCAGACAATGTTCTAGATGTTTGGGATACAGCAGTGCATAAAATAGACAAATATCCCTGTCTCGCAAAAGCTTACCTTCCCTCAGGAGCACTGATGCGTGAACATAATATTAATAATTTATGGATCATCTGATCCAGACATGTGCCTGATCTCTGTCAGTACCATTTGAGGCTGGAATACCCCATAACTCCTTGTCACATACTATGACATTTTTATCCCCCACTCCCTGAGACATAGTCAAGGCAGAGGCATTAGGATTGAAGAGGCACAATCTGATGTGGTGTGATAAATTACTCCCCCTAATGGCACCTTTGGTGTGCCATGGCAACATAGCCTTGTAATTGTGAGGAAGATCCATGATGTCACTGTGTCCTGAAGGATTCATAACTGTGGTGGGCCGTGGTGACAGTCATCCTTTATCCCCATCTCAGCCAACTACCATCCTCACCACCAAGCTATCTTGAGAGTCTCTTAATTCATTTAAATTCTTTTTTAGAGTGGTAAGTAAAGATTTATTACTTTCTTCTATGAAGCACTACAGATTTCATTTTGGATTTTCTCCATATTTTTTCTAAGATATTTTCCAACTGATTCTCTTGCTTTTCTGGGTATATAGCATGGATACACAAAAATTATGTCTTTTCAATCAACTAGTGACTCAGTGTTTATTTCACATGGATTTTAATGAAAGATTTATATGATCTTGAATTTTTCCCTTATTGCTCTCCTTTGCTACATGTCCACTCTTCAATATTTGCTTTTAATATTATTGCATTTTAAAGAAAAATAAATCAATTTAACAAAACATGATGGGCAAAAATTGTATATAAAGTCTATTTTTAGTGTTGTAAACTATACATACATATATCCATACCCACACATAGAGACAGAGAAATGGCTGGTCAGAGATACACCAAAATGTTAATAGTGTTTGCTTGTGGGCTATTTCCTTGTCTATGTCGTTGGAGTTATATGACTCTCTGAATATTCTAACTTTATAGGCAAAAAAATAAATAAATAAATGCAATAACATTAAAGACTGTTCAAGCAAAATAAAATATTTTATATAATATCTACTAAAAATATTATGATACAATACCTACTATTTGGCAGAAAAGTAAAGATTCATGTGTTATGTCTTAGGTTGTATATTCCAATCATGTAAAAATTATATTTCTAATTAACTTAATATAAGCCAAAATTAGATCTTGTTACTTTCAGAGTGTTTTTGAGCCTCCATCATATTCTATCCAATAAAACTTTATACTTTCACTTGTGAGTTCTCAAGGAGATTTAACCTCTGTTTTTTGAATAGGAAACTGGCCAAGTATTCATATGTGCCTATGAGACCCATCCCATTATTTGAGTTTCAGTTATAATACAGTTTTTCTCAGAACTGTGAATATTTTCCTAGAAATGTATGAGAGAAACTTCACAAGTTGAGGTGCTAAATCAGTGTTTTGCCTCTTATTGGCTCTATTAACCTTGGTCCAGTTACTTCCTTTGCTGAGTCTCGGTTTCCTCTTCAGTCAAATGGGCCTAATAATTCTTATTATAGTTTTAAGTGTCCAACACATGGTGATTGGTATTAATAACAATTGTTATTACTCTTGATTGTTCTTTAGCAGAAAGAACAGATAAGATTGCACTGAAAACATTCATATTTTCCATGGTAAGATATCTATTTTTACTATTTACAATAGAACATGGGGTGACTGGGAATCTGAAGCTCTTAAAAAGTAAACGTGAGATTTGATAAGGTGTCATCGAGGAAGGTACGAAGGAATCCAGCTCCTGCTTTCTGCCTCAGTGCCCCTGTCCATGCTGGGTGTGGATAGGCTGACTAAGAAAGATGGCCCCTACTCTGGAGGAGTTAGAAGTACCCACTCAATCAAGAACAACTGCCAGGGCTCTGGTCTGGGCAATAAATGGATGACAGTGACCACATCCAAGCAATTTCCTCCCTCTGTGGTCAGCAATTTGCACTGTTCTCTCATTGACTGTCTCCCGTCCAGCATCACTCAACCAGGAAAGCAGCAATAATAAAGGCTGCCACTCACTGAGCACCTACTCTGTGCCAAGAACTTCATTTTTTTTTTTTTTTTTTTTTTTTTTTTTTTTTTTGGGTACCAAATTACTTTATTTGAAGGAATGGTACAAATCCAAGAACTTAAGTAGATGTTTTGGTACAACTTATAGAAAAGGTAAAGGTAACCCCAACATGCATGCACTGCCTCGGTGGATCAGGGAAGTCACCCGGTGGCTGCGGGAAGCTGGCCTGAGACTTAGCTCTCGTCACACTCTCCCAGGGTGTGCTTGTCAAAGAGATACTCTGCCATGCCAGATTCGGGGGCCCCCATCCTGCGCAGGTTGGTTACGTGGTCACCCAATTCTTTGATGGCTTTCACCTGCTCATTCAGGTAATGAGTCTCGAGGAAGTCACACAAGTGGGGGTCATTTTTGTCAGTGGCCAGTTTGTGCAGTTCCAATAGTGACTCATTCACATTTTTTTCCAAGTGTAATGCACACTCCATTGCCTTCAGCCCATTCTCCCAGTCATCCTGGTCTGGTTTCTTGATGTCCTGAAGGAAGATCCGGCCGCCTCGTTGGTTCTGCAGCTTCATCAGTTTCTCAGCATGTTCCCTCTCCTCATGAGATTGGTGAAGAAAATATTTGGCAAAGTTCTTCAAAGCCACATCATCGCGATCAAAATAGAAAGACATGGACAGGTACACATAGGAGGCGTGGAGCTCCAGGTTGATCTGACGGTTGATGGCGGCCTCCGAGTCCTGGTGGTAGTTCTGGCGCACCTGCGAGGGGAACGCGGTCGTCATGGCGGACGGCTGAGGAGAGGAGAGGGCGGCGGCGGCGGGGCGGCGCTGGAGCGGCGGCGGGAGCCTTGCGGCGGGCCGAGGGCGCTGTGAGGAGGTGAAGGAGGGCTGACTCTGGGTGGCCGGCCGGGGCGGGGAGCGAGCGCCGGGTTCCGTTCAAGCACTGTTGAAGCAGGAAACCTCGGCAACTCCGACGAAGACTGTCGCCAAGAACTTCATTTATGCCAGATACAAACATTTATCAAGGATCATCTATGTGCCAGGCAGTGTGGTAGGAGCTGAGGATGCACCAGTGAACTAAGCAATCTAAAACACCTGCCCTTGTTGAGTTTATATTCTAGGGGGGAGACAAAAATAAACAATGAATATAATGACTCACAAATTATGCAGTGCAATAAAAGGCAATATGTGCTATTAGAAAAGTAGTGAAGGAAAGGAAGATTGGGAGGGCTGATCGGTCGGTATGGAGTTTTAAATGGGGTGTTCAGGGTCAACTTCACTGAGAAGATGACATCTGAGCAGATATGTGAAGAAGGTAAGGGATCAAGGCACAGGGGTATCTAGAAGAGCAATGCTACCGGCATTGATAACATTCCTTCCCACCCCTGAAGGAGGAGTATGGGTGCACTGAAATACAAGGATACTGAGCAGGGTCACCGGGATTACAACTCGGAAATCACACTCTAGTGCAATTTCTAATCTGCCATTATTCTCATCCAGTGTATTTTTTTTAAAAGATTTTATTTTTTCCTTTTTCTCCCCAAAGCCCCCCAGTACATAGTTGTATATTCTTCGTTGTGGGTCCTTCTAGTTGTGGCATATGGGACGCTGCCTCAGCGTGGTTTGATAAGCAGTGCCATGTCCGCGCCCAGGATTCGAACCAACGAAACACTGGGCCGCCTGCAGCGGAGCGCGTGAACTTAACCACTCGGCCACGGGGCCAGCCCCTTATCCAGTGTATTTTTCATCTTTCACATTGTAGTTTTCATCTATAGTTCATTTGTGTCTTTTTACATTTTACATGTCTTAACTTTTTGAACATATGGAGTACAGTTATAATAACATCTATGTCACTTCAAGTGAGTTTCAATTGATTCACTAATAGTCTCATTATGAGTTGAATTTTCCTGCTTATTTACATGCCTGCTAAGTTTTGATTGGATGTCTGATTGTGAATGTTACCTTGTTGAATGCTGGATATGTTTGCATTGCTAAAAATATTCTTGTGCTCTTTCTAGCATGCAGTTAAATTACTTGGAAATATCTTGATCCTCAAAGGTTCAGGACTAACACAAAATTTGCATGTGTGAGATACTCTGACCCGGAAACAACACAGGGCAGTTTATGTTTTCTGTGATGTTGACACTTTCTCTACAGAGGCCAACCTTTATTTACTGAGTGTGACCTGAAGATTTTAAGGCATACTTAAGAGTTTTAAAGGCATGTTACCCCATGCATGGAATTAGGCTGTTTCATCCAACTAAACTTTTATGGATGTATATTTAATTTATTTCCAGTTTTCCACCTTTTCAAATACAGCCAGTGTAAATATCTTTGTTCAGAAACCTTTGTACATCTGTCCAATCATTTGATTAGAAGATATTTTTAAAAGAAAATGTATGAATCCTACAGAATTTACCTTTAAATCTTGATGCATATTTCCACCCTGCCTCCTAGTCTCACCAGGAGTGTATGAAGGTAACTGTTATCCTTCGTTTTCTCCTTTATTTACTTACTTACTTATGCTTAGTATTATTTTCCAAGGGATTAGATTAAAAGGGAAGAAAATCAGGTCTCAGCCTTTATACAACAACCTTGTTCTGTGGATAATAATTTCCCCCTTGTTAAAGAAAGGAACTGTCACTGAAGCTCTCCTATACTTCAGATTTCAGAGACTAAGTATGCCATTGAATCAAACTTGCCTTTGTTTTGCTCCCCCCAGAACCAGTAGGTAAATGTTCCGAATGACTGTACCTTTCCCCTAGGAAAGGCCTCGCAGCACAGATATGGCTGCACCAATTCTGGTGTTGGGGAAAGGCATATCTAAAGTAGAATCCCAGCTCCATCACTTACTAACTGTGTGTGTGACCTTAGGCATGCTGCTTTGGCTCTGGGTGCCTTGGTTTCCTGTTGCATATTTGAGGGGTAGGAGGCATGAGAGGCATGGAGAAGTTTTGAGCCCCGACCAGAGACTTGAACATAGCACCTGGGATTCCATCCACCTGTGAGGATGAGGCCCTGAGACCCAACCTTACTCCTCATGCTCTCCTCAGTAAGGGAAATGTGGGGATACAAATAGCCTAGTTATGGTCCAGGAGGTGCCATTAACCCTAGGCGTGTGAAAGTCACACATCAATGAGGAGGGAAGGGTGCCAGGACTCCCGAAAATCTCATTAATTTTCACAGCGCTCAGGGGCGTACTGGAGCCAGAACACACTCATTCACAAGAGTTGATCCATAAACATCTAGGGGTTTTGCAAACCAGTTGTTAGACTGTTGGCTGCTTGAAATCAGCAAAGGCAGGAGTGTCGACATGACAGAAATTAGCCAGCAAATGCTACAGGCCTTTGCTGTCCTCCTGCACCTTCTCCAGAGCCAGTTTACCAATACACTACCAGTGTGCTGGGGTGAAAGGAGTTGGTGCCATTTCTATGCTTTCCTTTTTGTTTACGAATCCAAGACACACTTCAAGGTATCTTTAGGTGAGTTGTGTAAGGGAAGGTAAAATAACATGCTGTAAAGGCATGGAGCTAGCCCTCATAGTTTATTCTGTGGCCAGCTGTACCAACAGTGGGGTCCCAGCCCTTAAGTGGACATTGCAGGAACTGGCACAGCCTGGGTGGGTTTAGGGAAGGTGTTGGGGGAGCCAAAGGGGGTGGATGAGGTTTGTCGAAGTCCCTGGGATGGTCCCCAAAAGTCAGCGGAGGACTGTTCCTTATCTCCCTGGTGACAAAGAAAGACCAGGAATGAACCACTAGACAGAGCTAGGATAATTTAGTTAAGAGACATTCTTGAGATAGCAGGAAACATGACTGAACTGGTTTAACTTATGATGAAAATTTTTCTCATATAACAAAAAGTTTATGGTCAGAGTGGTTCCAGGCATGATTAATTTCTTACCTCAATGATGCCATAAGTAACAAACTCTGTATTTCTTGGTTTCTGTCCTCACTGGATTGGCTTCTCCTAAGCTCAGATCCCCTTATGATACCAAAATTATGGCCACAGTTCCAGGCACCATATCCAGATACAACAATGTTCAATGGAAAACAAAGGCTTGCCCTTTGCTGTGTGTATCCTATTCTGAGCAAGGAAGACTTGCCACAATCACCAGCTCTCAGACTGCATTTCCACTTAGTTCATTCTGAACCTGTATAAAATGTTGATATATTTGTGGATTTTATAATGAATTTCTATCATGTTCCATCTAGTAAAAATATCAGATTTATTAACTGCACTCTTCCACTCAGATTTAAACTTTGTTGGATGAACAGGAGTTTGATGTATGGTTTCGTATTTGACTATTTCCCCATCCTAACATCTAATATTTAACTATGACACTGGATATGTAAAACAATGTCCCAGATTATTAGGTTCTGGGACAAGCAAGGAAAAGACACACACGATCTCTGCCCTCAAGGAGCTCCTAGTCTGTTAGGAGACATTCAATAAAACAAGCACTGACAAGGAACTGTGATAAGTGATTTCTCTCAGAGAGAAGGTAATTGTATGGATTTGTCTGCACACAGCAGGAAATAACCTAATTTCAGAGGGACAGAGGAAGCCTCTTAGAGAAAGACAAGTGTAACCTGAGTGCTGAAGGTAAGCAGCAATCAGCCAGATGAAGGTGGAGGAAAAGCATCCCTGACAGAGGGTGGATGCCGTTGTATACAAAAGCATATATGAGGTGGAAATCAGAGAGAGCTTGGGCCATCTAATGAACAGAAAGAGGTTCAGATTGGCTGGAACATAGAGTGTAGGAGGCTGATTCAAGATACTGCCTGAAACATAATGAGCCTTACTGAACATTTATTGGGTTAATTAATCTTTTGTAATGACCCTGATTGGAAGATCATTTTCTCAATTCTCGGGTCAGTAATGAGAGGTTATCTGTATAGGCACCAGTTTGTCAGACTTTTCAGGATACTATAATATATTTAGACATTGTGTCTCCTTAGTCTTCTAGAATTGGCCATTTCTTCCAGGAGCCCTGGTTCCATATATTAGAGAATGATAGAAAGAAACCAAGACCTGGGCTCTGGGTGTGCTCATTGCAGCTAGAGATGCAACACTCTCCAAGATATAGAATAATAATTGGAAAACTAGTGGATCTTTGGCTTCTATGTTTGCAGGAGAGGAGGAGAGCCTGGACAAAGGGAGTCATTGTAATATGTCTTTCACTGTATGTCTAATCATTAGCATGCTTCACTATTATTGGTATCATTTCCATTTGGGGTATAGGAATATTTTTCTGCATTAAAAAAAAAAAAACTAGCTGTTTTTGTGAATCCTCCCTGTTCTTTCTTCTCTCTCCACCATTGTTTGCAGTTTGGCAACTTTTGGCTGCAGTCCTTTCCTTACTAATTGCAAGCAATTTGAGAACCTTAAGCTTCAGTTTCCTGTCCATCCTGAAATCCAAGAGTAGCTTCAAGCTAAGAATGGATCCACCATGGAGAGTCACCACAACTTTAAATTCTGGTTCATCACTGATTCCACCTAAAGAAATATCCCAGGAAGTTACATCAACCTCCCAACCATCATCCTCCAAAGTACAAAACCTGGATCTCATTAACTTAAACCTCAATCCAGATAGCAACTACCTCACTCCTCTACCAGAGGAACTGTGCCAACAGCAGTACAGAGATGAGATGACGCAACAAGAGAGGCAGTGGGAAATGTCAGTGTTCCCTCAGAGGAAAAAGACATTCATGGAGAACATGAGACAGAAAACCCTCAATCACATGGCACCTTATCGGATTGAAAAGGAGGGAAAAATCTCGTCTTCACACGTTAAAGATCATAATAAATGTAAATGTCGTCACTGCCAGAGCCAAAGGGAGCATGTTTCTGGAAACCCTAAAGGGCAGAATCCATCTTCTTGGAAAATGCTGGTGCAGGACCTTAGCCACTTGAACCTCAGCTCTGATACCAGACAGGCCAGCTGTCTACCAGAAGAGCTGCCATAAGAGTAGGAAAGAGAGAAGAGCCACCAAGAGAGGGAGATGAAAAGCAGAAGAATTCCTCAGAGGCTCCTTAAATAATAATTGAAATAAGACTCTCATCCTCATGTGGTGAGATCAGAATGGATTCAGATGTGTGAATGTTGATTTTTAGTCAATTCCCTTGGTGGAACTTTTTGGGAACCAGTTAGGAATGGTCAGTAGGAGCAGTAAGATCCAGTGTCTTCAAAAAAATCTTATTAGCAAGCAACAATCATTCTTTCAGTGATTTTTAGGGTCACTCTGGGACATGGTGGGAGGGATACTCTGTGGCAAGGAAGATGGGTAAACAATGGTTCTTTACTTCCCATTATTGGTGCAACCCGTCTTTTTCCCTCCTTGGATCTCTTTTTCCCTTATCCTGTTGCCAGTAAGTTATAAAGGATCCATGTAGTGTGAATCTCTTGCTGGTTTCAAAGTGCTTTTGTTCTGCTTTATGGATTGGACACAAGAAAAAGCACTATGTCTGATGAAATGCATGTGTGTTTTGGAATTCTGAAGTTGATAAGATGAGATCCACTTTTAAGCTTTTGAATCAAAAGAAAGTGTTGCAAAGGTATGTGTGAATAGAACCTGCGGGCTTCACATTGAATTGTTTGGATGAAACGTACTTATCATGAGGCAAGTATAGGAAAATATTTTATGCCCCTTTACAACTGAGTATTAGTCTCCCTTTTGAAAAAATTTCAAATGTATTGTCTCAATTGTCAGTTTCTAATACTTGTGTATGTATTTAAAAGCCTATCGTTCAAAGTCAGATATTTTATTCAACATTGCTTGGATCATATTTTGTCAAGGGTCACTACACATGTAATTTTAGAAGAGGTGTAGGAAAGAGGTTTTTGAAGACATTTTCATTACTCTTTGAGGTACCGTATTCAGGATGGCATGTGGAACAGCCACGCCATTGCGTGGACCAACTGCTCCGTGTGGGTAGCAATGGAAGGAGAACATCCTGCTCATAGTGTGAGCATCTGTGCCTTGTGCAGCTATCACTTGCTTAAGTACTCCATGATACATTCTTTGCTCTCTGGTGCCCTTCTATGTTTAGTAAGAACCGCACTCCCACGTCTGCTATATGGGACAAAGAGCATCATTATGTTGTTTATACTTCTCCAAAAATTATGACAGAGGTTAGATATGTGTTTTTGCTGTTCATGATATGAAATTGATTTAATTTCTCAGTTTCATTCCCGTAGACTTTTCTGAGCCACTCCTGGTGGTCTAGTGGTTAAGATTCTGCACTATCACTGCTGCGGCCAGGTTTGTTTCCTGATCATGGAACCATACTACTCCTCTGTTGGTTGTCATACTGTGGCAGCTGCATGTTATTGTGATGCTGAAAGGTATGCTACTGGTATTTCAAACGCCAGCAGGGTCATCCCTGGTGGACAGGTTTCAGCAGAGTTTCCAGACTACAACAGACTAGGAAGAAGGACCTGGCCACTCACTTCCAAAAAAAACGGCCATGAAAACCCCATGAACAGCAGTAGTACCTCATCTGATATAGCACTGGAAGGTGAGAGGATGGTGAAAAAAGACTGGGCAGGGTTCTGCTCTGCTCTACTCGGGGTCGCTAGGAGTCAGAATTGACTCGATGGCACTAAACAACAGAAAGAATTTTCTGACAGTTACCCCACTACAGAGCATAGTATTCTGCTAATGAGAAAGTAAGGTTAGCTCTGGACAATCTGCTTTATTATGCAGTCTTCAGTGGTGTGATACAGTAAAAATCCATGATTTTTTCACACATGGAAATTACTCCAGCACATATAAATTAACATGGACTGGATTCCAGCCATGTGATTTCATCAGAGAGTATGAAATCTTGTATGGTTTATACCACAATTCAAGGGGACAATGTAAAAAAAACAAAAATAGGTTTTATACATTTGGAAGTTTATGGCCTAATTTGATTATGTAAACTGGAGTGTATTTTTGAAAGAAATATAATGGTTTATTGATTGCTTCTTATGATTCTGGCAATATTCTAAATATTTATAGGTATATGTATATTTAGATATACAACTAATCCGGAACTGCTCAAAATCAAAGCAGGTTTTCTTCATGTGGCTATTGGCATACTTGTACTAAAATTTATATGTAAATACAAAGAATAGCAAACCCAATCTTAAAGAACAAAGGTGGTTTTATTACACTATCAGTTATCAAGCATTGCTCTAAGTCTGTAGTAATTCTGATAGTTTTGTATCAGCATAAGAATATACAAATAGAACAGTGCAAGAGAATATAATATACTCCACTGCAATTCAGTGGGGAAAGATTGTTCTTTTCAATGTAGGAAGAAATGAATTTTGCCCACTTACAACATACAAAAAATTAATTTGAAATTATTCATCAAACTAAATGTGAAAAACAAATCAATAACATTTCTAGAATAAAATACAGGACCATATCTTCATGACTTTGGGCATGCAAAGATTTTTTAACAGGATACAAAAAGCACTACCTATAAAATTAAAGTTTGATGAATTGTACTTACTTAAAATTAAGAATTTTAGTCCTCAAAAGGAAACCACAAAGTATTTGTGTACGGGACATATAAAGAATTTCTATTTTAGAAAAATATAGGTAAATCTTATCTTTATGAAGTCACAAAGATCTATAGAATAAATGAATCTTTATAATATCTCAACAATCTCTAGGATGCCCCCTTTTCATTCCTGCTTATTGTTAATTTTTGTTTTCTCCATTTTTTAATTGATTCATCCTGTTGATACTATACCAATTCTATTAATCTCTTTAAGAAATCAACTTTTGCCTTTCTGGTGTTTATGTATTATTCATTTGTTTATTATCTCTTAGATTTCTGCTCTTATATTTATTACTTCTTTTGAGTTCAATTTGCCATTCTTTTTAATCAATTCTTGAGATAGAGGTTTAAACCATTGCTATCCACCCTTTCTTCTCTAATATATGCAGTTAAGACGATAAGTTGTCTTTAAGCATTGCTTCACCTGTATCCCACACAATTTGTGGCTGGTCTTCATTAATATTTGATTAAAAATATTTTTTAATTTTCAGTATGCTATTTTTCTTTAAGTAATAAGTTAAAGCATACTCCTTAACTTTCCAGTCATCAGAGATTTTCCCATTATCTTTTTAATATTGAATTCTACCTTAACTTCCCTGTTGTCAGATAACTGACTTTTATTTCTTTTGAAATGTTAAGACTTACTTGTATGATCAGTTTTGCTAAATGTTACTGGTATACATTAAACAAAATGTATATTCTGTCATCATTGTGTACAGTGCTATGTAAATATTAGGTCCAGTTTGTTAATTGTCTTCTTCATATGTTCTTATATGCTTAAAGAATTTTACCTTTTTCTAATAGCTACTGAGAGAGGTGTGTTCAAGTCTTTTACTATGAATTTGGAGTAATTTTTTAGTAATGTCAATTTTTGCTTTCTGCATTTTCAGGCTGTATAGTTGTACGCATATAAATTGGAACTTTTATATGTTCCCGATGAATTGGCCCATTTACGATTATAATATTTTTATCACTGATAATGATTCTTGCTTTATAGTCCACTTTTCCTGATATTAGTAAAGCTACATCAATTATCTTTTAGTGTTGTATGGTATGTCTTTCTACATTATTTACTATAAATCTCTCTGTTTATATTTAAAATTTGTCACTAACAAGGTGTGTATAGTTTTATTTTTTCAAAATTATGACAAAAGCAAATATTTCTTTATGATAGTAATATGTGAGTACTTGCCATGAACCAAGCAGTGTTTGAAGCATTTTCCCTGGATTTGCTATTTTAGTTCTCACAATCTAAAGTTAATGAGTAATGTTATAATTATCCTCATGTTCGTTTTCATTCCCAGTTTGTCATTCCTAGTCATTTGTGTTTTCATTCCTATCTGACACTCCTAGATGGCATATTTTGTCAATTTACATTTAATATAATTAATAATATATTTGCATTGGTAATCTTACCATCTTACTTTTTTTCATTCATCTATTTATTCATGTATGTATTCTATTCAGTACATAATTATAATTTAGACTCTGATTCATTTGAAACTATTTTTTTAAATGTGAAATTAAAAAGAGTAAAGCCAAACTCATAGTAACATAGACTACAATAGGGATTACCATCTTATTTTTGACCCATAATTCTTATGGCCCTTTTTCTTTTTGTAAAAATTATTTCAATATTTTTTTGTGATTCCACTTTCCTCTATCAACTGGTTGGTTATACGTTGTCTTACTACTTTTAGTGGTTATCCTACAGCTTACAGCATGCATTCTTGACTTGTTACAGTCTTAAAAATTACTAAGATCTAATACAAAGTGCTAATCTTATAACTTTCCTTATAATACTGGAATTATGAGATATTTTAACTTCATTTATCACCTTGAGCTTTTTCCTTATGTTTACGTGGTTAACTTTACATATATTTGAAATTCCATAAAATACTACTCTTTTTGTTCTCACAGTGACTATTCAGTCAATATTCTTTCATATTTACTCACATGATGACTATTTTCTTGGCTCTTTCTTATTTCCTGAAATACTGTTTCCCCTGGAATCATTTTCTTTCTGCCTGAGGAATTATCTATATTATTCCTCTTAGTGCAGGTTGGCTGAGGATGAATCTCATCAGTTTTTTTGTGTGTGTTTCTCTGAAAACACCTTTAATTCATCTTCAGTTTTGAATAATATTTTCACTGGTTATAGGATCCTAATTGGCACTTGTTTTCTTTCAGACTGTGGAAGATATTTCATTTTCCTCTGGATTTCATCATTCTGTCAAATAGATCTCCTTTGAAAGTAATGTATATTTTTTTCTCTGCTTGCTTTTAAGATTTTCTCTTTGGTTATCATCACTATTTAAATTTGATGCTTTGGTTTGACTTTCCCTATAATTATTTTTAGAGGGTTCACAGAGCTTCTGATATGTATGGATGCCTTTCATCACTTGTAGAAAAT